GTCCCCAGCAGACGGAGGGACTGGCTGCAGGAAGAAGCCCTTAGCAGCCAAAAAGCAGAGGGACCATTTTCCTGTGTCTCCCAAATTCATGCTCCTCAAACCAGGTGTTTGCTCTGGGAGAGGTAAGAGGGGGGTGTGGGGTCCCCCCGCCCAGGGGACCTGCAAGGGACACCTGCATGTCGGCGCAGCTCCCTGGGTGTCGGGACCTGCAAGACCTGGGCTGAGACCCACCAACTCGTCTCATGCCATACTGGGCGATGGGGAGAGAAGGAGATGAGGCCGGCGGGGCCCGTCGTGCCCAGCACCCGCAGCCCATTGGAGGTGCCGGGGGGAGACGGGGTAGCTTTGCCGCTCCGGGAAGCAGAGGGACGGCCGGGGCAAGGGGGAGTCCGCCCGACATTTCTTCTCCCCTCTGGCAGCCGCGTTGCCATGCCAGTAGCGCCGTTGCCATGCCGGTACAGCCGTTGCCATGCCGGTACAGCCGTTTCCATGCCGGTACTGCTGTTGCCAGGCTACGCTGAGAGTGTTGGAAGAGGATGTCGGGTTGCTTTGAGGATGAGGGAGATGGGAGATGAAGCCGGGGTGATGCCGTGTCCTCTGAATCCCACCTCGCTGCCAGCCCAGGGACCTGCCGGGTACGGGCTGGCTTGGGGGGGCCAGGAGGTGACAGAAGTGTCATTGCCCGTGGGAGCTGGTGTGATGGGCGGCAGCCCCCAGGGCTGGGTCCTGTCAGGTCGCTGGCCTTGCGGCGATCCCCTGGCATGGCTCAGTGCTCAGGGCGCTGGAGGGATGACCTGACAGCAGCCTGGTATGTCCATGGTGGCGTTTTAGCAACCGGATTTATAAAGTCGTGAAATAGAGAAGCCAGGATTATTTGACAAGCCCCGTTGAACACATGGGCCTGGAATCGTGCTGGGTTGTAGCCCCTTCCTTAACTTCCTTTCCTGCACCATCCTGGACCGTGGTCCTGCTCTCCTAGCCTACAGATGTTCAACTGGCGGGGCTCATAGCCAGCCTCATCCCCACTCCCTGACCGTAACATACACACTTCAATTCTGCACCGTTGAAGCGAGCCAGAGACCCTTGAGGCACTCCTGGCTGCAAGTTTCAGGGGCTTTCTAGGTTAGAAATGATGCTCCCCTTGCAAACATCCTCCTGGGCTGGAAGGTCCGGAGGGCAACGCAGGTTCCTCATCTCTGCTCCCCATGCACGGAGCAGCCTGCAGGCTCCCACAGCTTCACACGCCAGGTGGGTTGGGATGTTTGTGGCCCAGTTACACTGCAAAAATCTTTGCAGAGCGGGGAGAAGAGTTGCAACCTGCAGGTCAACGAGGCAGGGTGGCCCAGCTGAAGTATCGGCAGGAGTTGCGGCTGCATGTGCTTGACTTGCTCTTCACCGTCCTGCCGTCAGCCCCTAAAGCACAGGGTGACCCCAGGAATTAGGTTTGGTACCTGTTGGCTGTGGGAGTGGCGTACGTGGTGGGGTCCCTTCCTTCCCGGGAGAAGGGATTCATCCCAGAGGATGCCTTTCATTTTTTGTTGTGCCCCAGGTGCTTACAGTGAGAGCACTGCTGTGCCGGGACGGGCCTCAGGATAGATGCCACATAGTGGGGTCTTTTTTCCACCTTTCCCTCCCCACCGATAAAAATTCACCTCGTGGGCACTGAGGCAAATTTTTGCACGGCCCGTCTGTCTCCCAGCAGCCGGCCCAGTGCAGCCCGTCTGCCAGCACGGGGCTGGCCCCGGCGTGGGAGCAGCATGGCACCGAGACCAGCAGAAATAGCTCCCGCACACAGCCCGCCGTCCAGCTGCCGGCGTGTCGCGGGAGGGCAGGGACGGGGCTGTGCGTGCCTGGGGACCTGCCCTGTGCAGGCAGCTGCCGGGTGTTTTTCCATGCATCGGGGATGCTGGCTGTCCTGCAGTGCTAATGGCATGTCTCCGAGCCAGCGCCTGGCTGTGGGGTTGGGGCCAGGGCAGCACACCCCCTTGGCTGCAAGTATTTTCTCCCCAAAAAGTAAGCCAGCAGCTCCCACTCCCCCAGCTCTTGTGCTGTTTCCCGCCAGCCCGGTACCTAGTGTCCCTCTGGTGTAGAGGGGGAGCGCTGCTGGAACATCCCACCCAGCCTCCACCTTCCCCCGCCACCCATCTCCTTCCAGCCCCCCTCCCTCCGCCCCCGCGCTCCAGCCTAAATAATTCCTCCTCTGCCTGGCGGTGTGCAGACTGCTCTCCTGTCCTTCCCTTAGTCATCGCTCAGCCGAGCGAGAAGATATAGTTGCGTGTGGCTCCTCGCGGATCAGTCACTCCAGCCCCCGGATCATTTCGCTGCTGGGTCGTGGGGTGCCCCGTGCCGAACACGAGGTGCCTCCCCCTTTACTACCCCCATCGTCGCTGCCAGAGCCCCTAACCCCTGGCCCCGGGAGCGAGCGGCCCCGTCGATAGCGGGTGGGTTGGCAGATGACCCAGACGGGGCTCCGTGTCCCTGTCTGGCTGCAGTCTGGGTGCCTCTGCCTGTGCCTTTCTGGGGTGGCTCAGATCCAAACCCCTGCTTTCCAGGTGCCCTGGCCGCCTTCCTCCTTCCCTGGCCAGCCAGGGTATGCCTTGGCCCCGTGGGGCTCCCAGGTTAGTCCTGGACCGATGCCTTGTTACCGCTGTCCCCATCAGGTGCCTTGACAGGGGACTTTGGGGAGGCAGAGGGGACTGTGTGTGCTGGCTTTCAGGTCCAGGGGCGCATCCCAGATGGAGAGGGGATGCTGGGGTGCACGGCACATGTCTGGTGTGAGAAAGGATGCTGGGGCACGCAGGGACATGCCTGGCACCATACAGCTGTCCACTGGGCTACCCAGAGGGACCGTCAGTGTCTGCTCTGATGCCAGCCGTGGGGCTTGGATCTGCACAGCCAAAATGGGAAGGCAGCTCCTGCCCTTCGCCGTACCCCAAACCATTTCCCTCCCCACCTGATTCGGCAGCCGATGGCCCCTGCCACACCAGCCCTGGCGCTAAATAGCGGCTGCTTAGGGACCAGCAAGGTGCGGGCGGCTGTGGAGAGGGGAACAGTGGGACACGGGAGCCCCAGAGAGCCCACGGCTGGGGCCACCGTCCCCCATGCCACCTCCTGGTCCCGCTGCAAGGCCAGGGCACTAGGTGCAGAGAGGTGCAGAGGGAGGCACCCAGGACTTGTAGTGTTAATACGTTGCTCCCGTATGGCCTTGCACCAAGGCAGGAGAGGACCCGGACACCCTGCCCGGGTGCTGCATGGTTGCCAGGATGAGTCACAGCAAAGCTGCTGCGGGGAGCAAGATGCTCACTGTGCCCGGCACCACACCGTGCCCCCCCCTCATCCTGGGGCTGCCTCTGCACCCCTTGCACCACGCAGGCACCCCGTGTCCCCACGCATAGCTGTGCTGCGGGGAGGAAAGCGGGAGCGAGCGTGCCGGGAACAGGAGGCAGCGTCTGGCAGCCCCGCGCTGTGTCAGGGCCACCGAGCCGGCAATGTGGGGGTGGCGGGAGCCAGCGGCACGGCATGCCGGCGGGAAGCCACGCACAGTCCCCTGCGTGGGCTCCCGTGGGTGGCCCAGGCCGTGCGCATCCTCCCGGGAGAGGAGCACACCACCTCCATGCTGGAGTGCCCGCGGGGTTGTGTCCTGTCGAGGCAGCTCGTCCTGATGCTCCTGGCAGTGTGCTAGGGGAGGTGCTGGGGAGGGGACCCCATTTCCCCGCTCAGGTCCCATACGGCTCCCTCCGGGCTGCCCTGTGGACCCAAGCAGCATGTGGCCGGTCCCAGCAGGTGCTGGTGGGCATCGCTGTCCCTACCCCTGTCACCACGCCCAGTGCCTGGCTGCACTTCCATCGCTTGAGCATCCTTCCCAGCCCTGTGGCAGTGCCGGGTGCGGACAGACCCTGTGGCTGTTTGGGGGGCGCAGTGGCTCTGTGCAGAGGAGGGGGTGCCCAGGGCTCCTGCCAGGGGAGACGGAGCAGAGGGGGCTCCAGCTCCCCGTGCATCTCATGGGGAAGGGGTGCTAGACCCGAGGGAGCCCTGGGCCAGTCCCTCTTCTCCAAGGCCCAGGGTCTCCCAGCTCCCAGGTGCTGCAGAGGATGGAGCCCACCCCAGACAGTGGGAGCCTGGGGCTGCCCGGGCTGAGTCCCAGCTCCTCACGCAGGGTGCGTGGCCCAGCACTCACCTGCCACAGGCACATAACCATGGAGGAGGGGGGTGCTATGGGGCGGAGATTGGAGTCAGAGCTGGGTTTGGGGCAGGAGGAGAAGGGGGTCACAAACCACCCTACAAAATGATTTCTGGGGGCTGAAATGAGTTCCTGCATCCCTCCTCCCTTGCGTGCTCTGATGGCTGTGGGACCGGCGGCTGGGCATGAGGATAGAGGCATGGCCGGCGCGGTGATGCCAGCCCCTCCGCTCCACTGGGGCGGCCTGGTGGCATGCTCCTCTCCCCCGCTGGCCATGCCGCCACGTGCCCCCATCCCCGGTGTGGCGGCCAGGGATGGCTGTGCGGTGTGCAGGTCCAAAAGTGGCACCACCTGCTCCCGGTGTGGTGCAGGGGCGACACCCTGCGGCCACCTCTCTGCTGGGGGACACACACACACACTTTTCTTACGGCCCCTCGCACCCCTCCCCAGCCCTCTCGCCCCCCCAGTCCGCCCAGAGGTCTCTCCAGAGGGCCCTGGTCCCTCTAGGGACCCTGGCTCGGGGTGGGAGTCACTTCTGGGTGGTCCAACCTCCTCATCTCAGCTCTCTGCCCCAAATCCCCTCGGCTTCCCCCCCTCCTCACCCTGCTCGCATCTGGGGGGGACGTTGCTAAACGGGATACTTGCCCCCGCTTTGCATGGTCACTCCTGCTCTGGCCTGGGAGGGGAAGGACGGTTGGGGCCACCAGGGTGGCACTGCCTCCAGGAGCTGTGGCTGTTGCTGTCACTGTCACACGCTGCCCAGAGAACCCCCTTTTCCTGCCGGTGGTCCTTGGCTGGTCCTGTGACAGTGATGGGATGGGGCTCTGACATCTTGCCCCAGCGACGGCCGGGTGCCACGGCTCACGGTGACACTGTCTCAGCCCAGTGGGTCACCCCCTGTCCCCCCTCCCCGCGTCAGCACAGCTCCCCGCAGACGTCCCCGAGGCTCGGCTGGCTCTGGTGCGGGGCACACGGCGGTCACCTCCCGTCTGGGGCACACCAGAGCTGATGGCGCCTGGCCGAGCCCAGGGGAGCCCCGGGGACACGCAGAGGTGCCCGGGCTTGGAGGAGGGTGCTATCCTGCACCCCGGGGTGCAAAGCCGAGCACCCATCTTCCCCCCAAGCGGAGTTTTTTTGGGGTGGGTGGCAGCCCTGTGCAATGGCCGTGCGTGCCAGCAGAGGGTGCCACCTCCCCGCGGAGCGGGGCACTGCTACCCCCTGGAGCCCCCATGGGACAGCGGGGACACCCTGGGCCGGCCAGGGCGGGCAGCACGAGGTGCTCCGGGGCCCTTGCAGACGGCAGG